CTCACCAGGTGGAGTGAAGGTGGATTTCTGAAGGAAAGGAAGGAAAAAACATTTGATGGTGTGTGAAAATAGCTCCTTGTGTAGTTAGAAGACAGCAATTTAAATAAGCGCTTTCTCCCGTTTCTCTTGAACACAAAGGTAATTGTTGCCCTGAAATAGATGGCGGGTTCTCCTGTAAATCGATTTCTCTTAGCAGCACTTTGTGTGCTGCATTAGCTAATGCAGCACTGGGGTGAGCCCCTCGGGTGGCCGGGAAGCGCCCCAGGCCTGGGCCACACCTCCGACCCAGGAGAGGCTGTGCGCTGGGCAGCAGAGCCGCCTTTGCAGGCAGAGAAAGGCTCCCAACCCCAGTGCTGCCGCCCAGGAGCTGTGTGGCTTCGAACTCGGTCCTTCTCCTCTCTGAGCCTCGTCTTCCTGGGGTAACGTGAGGAAACACAAGTCACAGGCTTGGCATCAGCGCAAGATGCAGGAAGTGTGACTGTCCACACACGGCCCTTCTGCAGGTGGCTGCTCAGAAACCCCCTCAACCTCACCTCTGCTCCACACTGCGCGTGGCTGTCTCCTGAGTCAGGACACACAGCCATCCCGACCAAAACAGGTGCTGGCTTTGGGTTCAGCCACTCGGTCACCTTGGAGACCCAGAGGTGCAGGAAGGCTAAGATTTCTGGGCAGTGAGCCCAAGGCCACCACGCACCCACTACGCCTGTCAAACGCATCTGCTTGTGATCTGGCGCCAGACAACAAAACCACAGGCGGGCAAAGCTGCCGCGCAGCCCCTGCTGTGTCCTGGTCATGTGTCCTGGGCCTTGTCCACCCCCAGGCTCCCAGGCCCATGCAGCTCCTGGGATGCCCAGACAGCCTCCGCCAGCCCTCTCCACCGCCTGTCTTCTCCTTGCGGAGAAGGGACGACAACTGCAGCCCACCCAGGGTGCCCCGGGCCAGGCTGAGAGGGCTCTGAAGGAGGGAGGGCGGGAGGCCCTGGGCCCTGCACATGTGAGTCTGCTCCGGGCCTGACAGCAGCCTGTGTGCTCCTCTGAAACGTGATACCCACCGCATTCTTGCCCAGCTCCGCCCTTTGGAATGGAGATGCAGCTCCTGGCCCTAATCGCCTGGGAGAGACACAACCAGCTGTCGCCTCAGGCCTGGCCCTTCGCCTCCAGTGAGGACACCAGCGCAGTGATCAGTCAGTCCCTGCGCTTCTCAGCATGCCTCTCGGGTTACACATCGCGGGATGATGTCACGGCGGCCACCACTGCAGCAAGAGGAGAGAGGCCCCTGTGTTTCAAACCCCAGGGTAGGCCAGGCCAGCTTCTTGGCCATCAGAACTCTTCTGCCCTCAGATTCATGGAATGAGAGAGCTAGTGTAGACTCTTTGTGTTCCTCCCAGATCCTCAGATTTGGAAATCTACATATGCTCACTGTAGAGGATTTAGAAAATATTAAAATGCAAGAGGAAGAAATAGAAAATATTTAAATTCCCACTTGGACCTATTTTCTTCTAGTATTTTCGTACCACATATCTCTACCTATGTACACAACAGCTCATCAACCCATTGACTGATCAGGCCACCCACCCATCATTCATCTACTATCCACCATCCATCATCCATCCATCTCCCATCCATTCATCCATCATCCATCCATCCTTTCACCCAGCCCCATCATCCATCTATCCACCATCCATCCACCATCCATCCACATCATCCATCCATCTATCCATCCATCCATTCATCCTTCCCTCCATTCATCCCTCACCATTCACCTTTCCCCTTTTATCCTTCCTTAGTTCCTTCCACCCTCTCACCCATCCATCCACCCACCCACCCATCCATCCATCCATCCACCCACCCATCTGTCCATCCGTCCATCCCTCCATCCATCCACTACTCAAGTCAAACCATATGCAGTTGCTGACATTCAGCCATTTAAAATGACAAAAATAGCATTTTCATATGATGTGAGCTATTATTAATCATCTATTCTCTTTATCCTTTTTTTTGTTTCTGAAAACGTTTGATGTCATATGTATGTGGTGCCTTCTACAGGCTGGTTCTGCCCTTAATGGCATTGCCGTACAGTCTGTTTGGGGACATTTGAGTGGAAAAATCTCCAGGAAATACCTACTTGGCAGCCAAATAGGTGTGCAGGGTTTGAGCTGCTCAGCATCCAGGCGAGGATGCACTCCCCAGAGCCTGGGCAGGGAGGCAGGAGAAGAGTGTCCTGGAGGTGCTTGCTTTTCCTCTGCCCGGAGCCACCTAGGTCTTCATAGCAGTCAGTTTTGGGAGCACCACATTTCCTGAGTTCACTATGATAGGTAAAGTGGCTTTCGGAGAGGCAGTGTGACAGCTCCAGGGTGGCCTGGGGCTAAGGAAAGGCTCTGCCTGATTGGCTTCTTACTGGGCCCAGGCTCTCCTGCAGTTTTGTGGTGGGAAGAAGCGCATTCCGTAAGGGGCTGCTCAAGAGAGGCTGTGCACCCGTGTCACCAGTCCCCAGACCGGACTGGGTCTCATGCTCTGTGTGGACCCAGAGAAACCGTGGGCTACCCTGGCTCTGAGCACAGGTGGGACCCCTGGGAGGGGCATGGGGATGAGAACAGTTTTGGGAGGTGGTTTTATTCCACTTCCACCAGTAGCGGTGTTTGACCTGGAGCACTGCAAGCAGACCCTGCCGGGCCTGAGCCTTGAACGTACCAGGCCAGGATCCTGGGCTTAGCATTAATGCAGACGCAGTGGCAGATTGCTTGGTGATGCACTCCTAGCGGGGCACAGGAGGGCATAAGGCATGGCACCTACAGTCCCGTGTGTGCCCGACTGTGCAAATGCACATGTGTGTGTGTGTGTGTGTGTGTGTGTGTGTGTGTGTAAGTGCATGAGCATGTGTCCAAGTGTGTGTGTGGCCTCAGGGCCGGGGAGGCCTGACCCTACCTGGGCCCTCTCTATACCAGGGCCCTTGACCCTACAGTCAGCCCAGATCTTACCTGCTGGTGCCTGGCCTCTGCTCCTCCCCACACCAGGCACTTGAGATGGATGAGCCTCACCTCTGCTAGTCCTGCAGCCGGGCTGTGTGTGCCAGGCCCACTCTGCCACACATGGGCCGCGTTAGCCGCCCTCCCCCACCCCGCGTCCACACTGCGCCCCGGTGGTCACCCCGCCCCCACTGCCAGCCCACCTCCACTTCTAATTGGGCCCAAAGCCATTTAATGGTGTCTGCCGCGGCTGCAGGGCTGCGCGGGGCAGAACAATGTGCTATTCATGTCCCGAACAGAACACTAGTGATCGGGCTAATATCTTCAAGCTAAAAAACAAGGCCTAATTGGGACAGATGCTGTGAATTCCAGTGGAAAGGCAGCTCCCATGTGATCCATACCAGGTACGTGCCAGCGCTTCGATTTTAATAGCAGCTTTTATTTTTTTATTGGCATATACAAACCCCACCAATGCTCTACACAGCGGCCGGTGGCGGGCCTCTGTGGAAACCTCCGTGGGCGCGAGGCCTGCTGAGCCTTGTGGCCACGTCATTTGGGTGACAATAAAAAGATGCCTACCATGCGGCCAGCAGTTTCTTGCAGACCCTGGTTTCTGCCCTTCCCTGCGCAGACCCAGGATTTTACCCCTCTGGTCCTCGGCCTCGGACACCCACCCTGGGACTCTATCTAACCTGCACGGAGGCCTGTGGCCTGTGTGCATGTGACCCCCATGTTGGGAAGTGCCCACCCTGCAGTCCCCTGCTGAGCTCCACCCCTGTGGACCCATGCTGCCCTGACCATGAGCTTCCGCACTCTGCTCTAACACACTTGGCAGCACATCTGTGAGTCTTTAATGTATTAGGTGAGTCCTCTGACCTCCCAAGGGAAGTCCCTCAAGCCATGTGCACAGTGTGCTTTACACAGCATCCAGGGTGTCACTGAGCAGATAGGGGGCCCAGAGGCAGCCCTGCCCAACCCAACGTTCATTTCCATTGAGCCCACGGAAGCTCCTGCTGCTGGACCTGGCATGTGGAGCCTGGGTGCCGCCCCAGGGCCCCGAGGACGCTGCTTCTGTTGGAAGGGAAAATGTCCAGGTTTCCAGCCAGGGTGGATGCTCATTTGCTGGACTTCTGAGTCCTCCAGAGAGCTGTTGGCAGGATTCATCAGAATAATAAACAGCTCAGGAGGGAAAGAATCTCAGCTTTAGGTACAGCACATCATCCATCAGCCATCCATCCCTCCAAATAGCCATCCATCATCCATCCGTCCATCCATCCATCATCCATCCATCCATCATCCATCCATCCATCCATCCACCCATCCATCTTCCATCCAGCCAGCCATCTTCCAGCCAGCCAGTGGCCTTGCATGTGTGATCCTCCTGCCTCAGCCTCCTGAGTCACTGGGATCACAGGTGTGTACTGTCACTGTCTACTTTCTTTGCACATTTAGAGCTCCAATCTACCTGGTGTGTGGCTTTGCACGTTGTGGGGTCGGGTACAGTGTTTTTCTTTCCCTGCATCTATCTGGTGGAGCGGGTACAAGTCATCAGAGGCCCCACCCATCCCTCAGAGGCTGGCTTCGGTGGAATTTGTGTAACTGTGCACTCATTTCTGGGCTCCATCTGCTCCCGAGCCTGCAAGGACAGCATCACCCCAGGAGGAGCCAGCAGCTGTGAGCGCAGGGAAAGGGTGCGCCGTGCTTCTATGCCGAGTGGCACATCGCCCAGAGCTCCAGGCTTGTCCTGCCACCCCTACTCCCATGTCCCAGTTCCTGGGGGACAGGAACCTGGTGTGTCCTTGGCTCAGGGTCTCGTGAGGCTGTGAACGAGGTTCCAGAAAGAGTGTGTGCTCCCTCTCTCCCCATCAGCCTCCTTGTTCATGCGGCGCTGGTGGAATACAGTGCCCCGTGGCTGTGGAACTCAGGTCCCCAACCTTTGCTGGCAGTTGGCTGTTCCCCAGTCCCTGCCTCATGACCTCCTCCGTCTTCAGCGACAAAGACCATCCCGAGTCTTACTTTAAATCTTCCTGTTGGAGGATCTCTGCTCCTCATCTGATTAGGCCACGCCCACCAAGGGCCATCTCCCTGTCTGCAGTCTGTCACCTTCTGATTCCTCTCGCCACAATGATGCGCTGGATGAGCTGGGGGATCAGTGTCTGCCGCTGGCGTGTGGGAGCCACCTGCACATCTGGGAGAGCAGCCCATGTTCCAAGGAGACCCAAGCTCTGAAACAAGGTAGTAATTAGGTGGAAATTCGTTCTCTCTCAGCCTTGGAAGCCCTGGCTGTGAGCGCAGCACACGGCTGTCCAGAATAAGCCCCCACGCAGCCTCCCACGCTGTAAACTCTGGCCAAGCTGACATTCATGGGGCGGATCTGCTGTGTGCTGCTCCTCACCATCGGCTGCCCCTCTGTGCGTTCCAGTCTCTCTTGCAGCTCCTGTTTGAGAACTGATGCATAGCAGTGGTTGGAATCATCTTGGAGCCGACTGCAGGGGTCACACCCTAGAGGTGGTGAAGGCAAAACAAAGGAACTCGCTCTCCAGGTGACCTCCTGGGAACGGCCACCATGCCAGGCGGGCAGCCGTTCTCCAGCGTTAGCGGGGAGAGAGAGACCTGTGTACCTGACAATCGCCCTGTCGTGGTTGCTCAGGCCCCTGCCTGGAACCAGACTTGCTGCTGTGAAGCCGTCCTCGCACTCCTCTGATAAATTCGGGTGGGTAGTTTCTCGTATCTTTCCGTATTTCACACGGCTGGATTTAATTTTTATGACTGTTAGAGAATCTGTGGTCATAAACAAATTTAACCCATGACCTTCCCTTTTTCCTCTGTCCTCTTTTGATCCAGAATATCAAAGTGATTTTAATATCACTAACTGACCTGAAGACTGGCTTTCCTTTTTTTTAAACTTTCACAGACCAATTTATCTTAGAATATTAAGAGAATAAAAGATGTATGCATTTCCTATTAACATAAAAGTTTAGCTAAATATAAACTTTGCACTAAAGTTTTACAGTGGCACCATACCAACAAAGGATACAGAAGCATTTTCAAACTATACAAAAATTTCAAATGGAAAATAATCTTCTTTCAATTTTATTATACATCAGCATACAAAAAGTCTCATTTTATGAGACATCTAAAAGAATCAAAACCACATTTATAGCTACATCTTAAACTCCTAATTTGAAAACAATTTATTATATTTAGACTTTATAATATTCTCTATTAAATCAAAGAAAATTCAAAATACATACTTTCTAAGAAGATTAATATTTTAGGCAGGTTTCCTTAAAAAACAAAATAAAACAACCCCCCCAACCAACCAAAAACATATCTTTTTTCTGCAACTCACAACACTGGTTATTTTGCTTTCCTTATAAACCCTTTTTATTTTATAAATTGTGTGCTGTTGGATTTTAACCAGTAATCTGGTTTAAGTTGTGCAAATAGACAAAAAATATGAAAATAGTGTGTTATCAGTCTTTTAAAAATAAATCTCATAACAATAGCACTTTTTGCCCTGAACGGAAGGGAGAGACATGCCAAATCCACCTGCATAAGTTCAGCAGTAATGATTTCTTCCTGTCCCTTCATTTTCTTCAACAGACAAATGCCTTTCTTATAAATTATGATAAAATATTTATTATTGTAAAATGCTCTATAGAACCACATCATGCTGCAAGTATACATCACATATACTTCTAAAAGTCCCCATTTCTACCCATACTCCAGTGGCTTCCTTGAAACCTAGAGCTCCCCACGCTGCCTGAATTTATCTCCTGCGGGTTGCAGTAGCGATCGGCCAGCTCCACCGGGGCAGTCTTCCTCCAGGTGGGATTTCCACGTTCGCCACTGTGCATAAAAGGCAGTGTTTCTTCACGTTCTCTGCTGCAGTCGCTGTGTCCACGTGTAGGGTGGAATTCATGCACATTAAAATAAGGCAAACATAGTCTTCTGTGAAATTACATTATACTTAGACATTTTCAGTTTAAAAATACTTGCCCATAAACATGTAACATAGGAATAGGAATACCAGAAGAGAAATAAATATATGCTGATCAGCAATGCTGGTTTAAAGAGCAGTACAGTATATTAAAATGCCTTCTTTGGAGATTTACATTTCCCTTGATTCCCAGCAGTTAGGTTACTTGGTGTTGGGAGCCTAACAAAGGAAAAGAACTTCTTGAAATCAGCGTCCTGTGCAGTTGGAACAGCGCAGTCTTGGGCTCAGTCTCTGTGGGTGTCATCTGCGGCACAGGTGTGCAGGTTTCTCACCTGGCTCAGGCCACTCTGAATATGCGCAACGTGGGTTTCTGTATTATTCTGAAAGCAATTGATATTAGAAGCATCTGTTGTACTCTTGATAACATTTAATGAGTCTGTAAGTGATTTGAACTCAAAGCGATTCAGGTCTCCTCCCTCTGCTAGACACTTAATTTGTAGTAGGACAGCCGTAAGCCTGGAGATTAAGTCTGTGAGGCTTTCATTTTCGACAGAGGACTGTCCCGCAGAAGAGCTGGCATGCCGGATCATCTCCTGTGCCTCCTCACAGCGCTGCCGCAGGTCTGCGGGCTGATCCACCAGCTGCAGCCCCTGATCCGCAGCCAGTTCGGAACAGTGCTGTTGAACTTCATGCAAAACTTTGTTCAGGTCCTTGTTCAGCTGTTCAAGCTCTAGAACAATTGTTGCACATCCCCACTGAAATTCAAGCGGGCATGGAATATGATTTCAGTTTTTATGCTTCCATGTTCATTTCCCTTAACTTCTTGATATGTTCTTTCTAATCATGAGAATTTTTGATAATTTAGTCATTTGAATAAGGAATTCTACTGGAAAACCACCAGTGTTTCAGTGTCAGAGCCAGAAAGTTTACTTCTCCGAGGTGACTGTCCTAATAAAGGATCACTGTCTGTAACTGGAGACTAGAGAGGAGGAACATAATGTAACTGTGGTGGGGTCATAAAAAAACGAGAAGGCCGCTGTTTGTGTCCAAAGGCAGCGATCGGGACTGGGGATTTAGCTCAGCGGCACAGCGCCTGCCTGGCAAGCACAAGGTCGTGAGTTCAATTCCTGGTACCGGGAAAAAAACAAAAAAACAAACAAAAAAAAAAACAAACAAAGGCAGCGATCGGCATGGTTTCATGAGGCTCGTTACTAAGAACTTCATAGTCAGGAATGGTATGAGTCCCAAGCCCTGTCCTACCAAAAGTCACTCTATACGTAGCATTAGAAGTACCCACAGCATCTATCTGTCCTGTGAATAGACTGTCATGTACACCATGCAGTCCTACTATAACTTTGGTTCCAGTAACCAAGGGCAAAGGAATTTCATGGTAGATCCTTGAATTGTGAAACCTCTGCAACTTTCCTTTGTTGTAAGAGCCTTACTGTCTGCCGTTTCTGTTTTAGTGCTGATCTCTCTTCCTCAAAAAATGCAGATGAATATCTCTGTGGTTTTCCCATAAGCCATCTGATTTTTCTCCATTCTACTCTGGTTAACTTTCTTGTTTTCAAATTAGGAAAAGATTCCTTTAGATATACACAGAAATCATTATCACCTTCAAAAAGTGGTTTATCTATATTTGAATAGAGCCACTTATTTATGCACCATTTATGTGCTTTTGGAAGCTTGAGTAGGTTCCATAATTGAAAACCAATCTTCTGTGAAGCTTTCTTATCTGGTGTTGACATTGTTGCTGTAAATTTCTGTGGAACCGTTGCGACTTTGTGGTTTCTTTTAGGTGATTTCGTACTTATTTGTCCTCTTCATCAGAGAAGAGTCGACTTCGTTTTGAATTTCTGAAGGGCATTTCAACAGCAAGGGCTTGTAGTCCTGCCTTTCCAAACAGGAGTTTGCTGTAAAGAACTGTACTTTTCATTCCATGTGTTAGATAAGTTTCTCTCTTTTAAACTGGTGAGAGCTTTTGCTGAAGAGCTCTCCTCAGGCAACTGGTCGAGCTCCGCCATTTTGAACTAGCCGCGCCGCATTTTCAAAGCCTGCCCGCCGCGGTGCATTGTGGGGTGGAGGCTTGAGGGGCGTTCTTTATATTCTTTGAAACAGTTTATTTAGAATTGGGGTTATATATTTATTAACTATTTTAGAGACTTTTTTCTACAGTGCTCTCGTTATATGGATATAATTTGAATTATCTTTAAAGGTCAAAGATTTTTCTAGATATGTGTATTTCTCATTTAGTCGGTTCTTTTAGGCTACGTCATGGACCTCACTGGGATTCCATCGGTTCAGCACATTTCCCTGTTCTGGGTTCCAGTCTGGGGCATGGGTTGTTGTAGCTTCCTGGCCTCGGTCTGACTGTCTTCAGTCCTTCCTCCTCATTCATGACTTTCACACTTCTGCAGAGCGCAGGCCAGGCATTTAGGAGAATGGTCATGTACTCCAGTCTGTTTTATTGTCTCATAACAAGACTGTGGATGGACTAGGGGGAGGAATACTTCAGGGTTTCCTATCGGAGGGCATGAGATGTCACCAGTGGTACAGGTGGGCTGACCTTGACCCTTTTTTGGGTGGTGTCTGCCAGGTTTTTCTAAAGGTACTATTTCCAATTTGTAATAAATGAGTATTAGAAGAATATTAGAAGCTATATGAACATAATATTTTTCTTAACTTTTACCTGCTAAATTTAGCACTCATCAGTGGGTTTTCCCTGCAGCAATCATTACTGTCATTTTCTAAGGGTGACTTTTAGATTTGCATCATTTCATTTTACATGTATTAACTGAAATGTTTCTGTGAGGAAGAGTTGCTCATCCTCCCACACTCACTTATTCATCATTTACTTGTGGACTCGTGGATATTTTTCTGTTTGGGTTTTAGCACAGTGTTATCCTATCTATTGCATCACTCGAGCTGACCCAGCTCCGGCCGAGAACACCTCTTCCTGACTGGCTCCCATGGCCCTTGGACGTGACCCCCATTAAAAAGCCTTCTCAGCACCTGCTCACTTCCTGGCATCACAAGGCACCAGGTCATTTGATATTTCTCCCGTCTGGTCGCAGGATCAGTCACTTCTCCAAGAACTCTTCCCTGGCTAATTTTGTTTCCAGAGCCAGGATTTGCATTGCTGTGGTTTGGATGTTTTTGAATGTGTTCCTGGGAGCTTGTGTGTCAGACGCTGGTTGTCCAGAGTGGTGGTGCTGGGAGGTGCTGGCCTCTAAGGGGTAGCGCAGTGGGTTGTCCTTGGGGGGCAGATGCCCTTGGAGGAGTGGAGGCACTATGGGCAGGACCCCAGAGGGTTCTCATGAGAAGGCTGCTATGCCAGGTTCCTCCTCCCCACCACCTGCCTCTCTGGGATTCTGTTTCAAGATGTGAGCTTCCTCTCTTTGTCCACACCACCATCCGTCATGAGGTCCTTGTCAAAGCTGGGGCAGCATCTAGTCCTTGAATCTCCGAAAGTGTGAGCTCCTTGAACCTCTTTGTTCTGTGAAGTCATCTTGTTTCAGATGTTTCATTAAATGATTCTCATATGCTGAACAAACCTTACATTCCTAGGGTAAATTCCACTTGGTCATGATGTACAAGCTTTTTATATGTTGTTGGGTTTGAATGATTAGTATTTTTTAAAGACTTTTTCATCAATACAAATACTTTTGTCTGGTTTGGATATCAGGACAATATTTAATTTATAGAACGAGTTCTATTTCTGTCTCTGCCTTTGCCTTTTGACAGTTCAAATGTTACATGCTTAGATGTGGATTTTTTTTTAAACTCAGA